CCCAGTTACAGTGGGTTCAGCAAGTCACGTGTTTCATAGGCCTGTGCTCCTCTGCTTTTAGGGTCACCAATATTGCTCACATGCCGGGGGTTTTACCTAACACACTGGGTCATTTGTATTTGCACACCTCTGCCAACAACTTTTTTTTGAGACTGCAGTTGCGATTTAAGGAAAAGGAGTGAACAATGTTACAGGCTTCTTCTCAGTTACTAGGAATAATGTCATTAATTATGTTGTAACTAATGTAGAACGATTTTGCAAGCTAATCCTGCTAGAATTCACGTAATCTAAGAGAGATGACATTTAAGTAATTAACAACGACATTTATCCCATATGGTTCTATGATTAGGCAGCCCGGGTGGTGTAGGGGTTCTGAGCTGGACCGTAAGGTCAGCAATTCGAAACCATCGGTCACTCTTGAGCATAAAGACAGGACTTTCTACTCCCGTAGAGAGTCACACTCTCAGAAACTCGCAGGGAGCATTCTAGTCTGTCCTGTCGGGTCACTCTGAGTCGGTAGTGAGTTTTAGTTTACTCTATGATTAGAATTGATAAGGAACATCCCTTTACTCTGTATGGCCTGGCATGGGAGAGGCCCGTGGAGATGAGGGGTGTGAGACCGTGAGTTAACACACCAAGTGACACCGACCAGAGGGATGCCACTGCACCTGAGCTGGGTCCTGAAATGAGGGCCATCAGCCCACGTAGCCCTCTCCTCAAAGCTCTGACATCTTCTGGAGGAGAAGACCCCCTTCGAGACCCGGGCCTGGGGATCTGGCGACATGAAGCAACGTGCTTCTGAGAGGAGCTTGCCCAGTCAGGAGACAGACACTCCTTTCAACAGGTCTGAGCAGGAGAACAGCTGTCTGGAGCCAGCGTGGCAGAAAAGCTCGCCAATGGCACGTCAGCTGTAACCTGCTCTCCCTGCAGCCAGATAGTGTTAAGCTGGGAACTGAATTGGAGTGGCACCTGCGTGGCTCTCTGCTTGTGTTGTCCCACACTGCCCTCTGCTGGCCGGCGTGAGCACACTCGGGAGTCTGCAGGCAAACAAGCACTCACTGGGGCAGCCGAAGGGACAGTGGCGGCCTGCTCCTGTGCCGTCATCATGAGTGGCAGTTCCGATCACCTGATCTACAGGGTTCCCACTGACTGATTTTCAGAAGTGGGTTTATAAGCCTTTCCTCCTAGTCCGTCTTGGGCAGGAAGTTCCAGGGAAACTTCTTGGGCTAGCATCATCATGCCCTGATAGAGAATGGAGAGCCCTGCAGCTGAACACCCACTGTCCCATGCAAACAGGCCTGCTTCCTCTTAAAATTCAGATTTAAAAAAAAGTCACAGATCTCCTGGAGGGGCAGGAAGAAGTTCCATGGGCCAGAGGGGCAGGCGAATCCCACCCCTCTGCACACACTTACCTGTTTTGAATCCATAGCATGGTCACCTGCAGCCTTTATGTCAGGCTGGAACGATAGAGCTGCTTTGAATCTTGCCCCAGTTGTTTTCCTCCTTTAAACAAGCTCATTTCATCCCAGGCCTCCCCACAAATAAGGTTTCCCAAGATCCAAGAATCTAAGAATTAGGGAGTCAAGTTTGGACAGCTTAGCAAAACACTTATCTTTTAAGGTTTTTGAAAGTTGTGTACTTGTTGTTGTGTTTGGAAAAACCACACACCCCGATATTTTAAATCCATGACCTTCTTTTTATAGTTCATCTGAAACAATGTTTTTATAAAAATACTTTATTTTCAAATGTAACTTTTTATTAAAGTACTAGTTTATGCTTTCAGAAATTTGACCTTTTTATATGGGGACAAAATATACAAAAATAATATAAGAATCTCTTGAGTTGAGAAGCCTAACTTAATGCTAGAGAAAAAGCCTTACTCTCATTGAGAACTCCAAGAACTCTCAGTCGCTGGTACTAGGCAGAATATGTGGTTTTGAATAGTCTTGATTAAATCCAAAATGGGGAACAATAAGATTCACTACCATAAATAAACAAGGAGGTTCCTAAGGAAAGCCAAAGGCTGATCAAAAAACAAACAAACATAGATACAGGCATGGATCTGGGGCTGGAACTAAATGTTAGCTCCAATTTAAGAACAATTAGTTCTTACAACATGGCCCTGCTCAATACTCCCTTCAGGAAGGGAACACAGAAGATATGGTGCTGCAGCAAAGTGTGGTGAAGAAACTAGATGGTGCCCGGCTATCAGATGGAATAGCGTCTGGCTCTTAAAGACTTGTTTCCGAACAAGCAGCCATCGGAGTGAGATATCAACTAAGTCCAATTAGAAGAAGCACCCCCACATCTGTGACCCAAGGATTATAAATGCAGAGCTGAAGGAGGGACTAGTACCAGGGCTTAAATTGTGATTCTGGGTTCAAGAAGGCTATGGATGACAGGGGAGGCCCAAGGTACAGTTGGAGATCTGCACAGGGATTAAGTGTCTGCTGATTTCCCTCTAACCAGCTTGGAGGGAGGGGAATCAACTGGTGAACAAACAGAGTGCACTGGAGAGGTGACTCCAGGAGATCAAAATGACAAACCGACTTGAGTGATTAAAACCTTGTCGCTTGATCCTCCCTCTGATATGCTTTCGGTTTTCAATATTTTGTCGGTTTGTCCATATTGGGGTTTATTTCTGATATATTTTGTCCCTGTGGGTGGCCCTCTTGAATTGTTATAGGTTTTTCTGTATATGAAATTCAGGATGAGTGAACCTAGAGCGACAGCCAGTAGAATCAGGGTGCCTGGTGGGAAGGGTGGGAGAGGGAGCTGATCTCATAGAGGTCAAGAAGGCAGAGAACGTTTGGAACCTGATGGTGGTCGCAAATGTACAACCTGTGGATGTGTTTGCACTGTGTTGTGGCAGGGTAGCTGTATTAGCTCCCAGTAAAGTTGTTTTGAAAAACAAGAATGAGAGATCCAAAATGGGTATGTTCCAGGGCAGTCCTAAACCGAGCGGTCTAGTAAAGAGAGCCAGTGAAACTTACATGACCTGCATTCAGCGATCCTCACGTGATTGGAGAGGCTGACAAGCTTCGTCCATAGATCAGATATCAGGCTGGAGGTTTCTCCTGCAGGCCTGATGAACCCAAGACTAGCGAGCCAGATGGCAGCCTGCTGACTCACAGGCTAGAGAAGTGACACCACCCCCCCACCCCCAGGATTGCAGGCAATGCCACAAGTTGCTGGCTCCCCAACAAGGAGGCAAGAGGTCGGGGGGTGAAAAGTCAGGTGTGGCACCCAGAACCAACGAAAAGCAAGAGACTTTTCCAGAAGGGACATGCATTTTGGAAGCAGGCCACACTCCCAAGGAACCTCCATCTCAGTTGACTGCTCATAGCAGATCTCATCATGGAAGTGATTGCATGATTTTAGATCTCCTCTTGGAAGAGATTACATGATATAGATCTCACTGTGGGACTCTGATGCACATCATAACTACCAAACTACCGAGAATCATGGCCTGGCCTAGAAGACACACATCCTTAACCATCACAAGGGCCTTGGTCCTGCCGACTCTTAGCTAAGTCCCAGGCCCTCCCTCTACATGTAGTGGCTACAATGAATATTGCATTAAATATTTGCATTAAAATGCAAATCAGTTCATGACATCTATCCCTCTAGTTTGGGAGAGGCCAAATGTCAAACCATGTGAAGACAACAACGTGTCTTATCAACTCGACACGCATGGCTAAAGTCAGACCCTGCAAGCCTGCAGTTGGCGCCCTTCCCTTCTCTTCTAGCTACTCGGACATCTCCCATCCTTTAAGAATCCCTCTGGTTGCAGCTTCCGTGGTACCTTCCTGCTTAGCTTCTGGAGGTCCAGCATGTGATTGAGGTCCTTCTTGGCTGTTGTTAGCTGCTGTGGAGTCGGTTGACTCACAGCGATTCCAACGACCAGCAAGAAAAATGCTGCCTGCCCCTGCCCCGTTCCCTTGACCAGTTTGGGATCGAACCACTGTGATCCGAGCTTTCAGTGGCTGATTTTGGGCAGTGCCTTGCCAAGCCATTCTGCTGAGTCTGTCTTAGATTGGAAACTCTACTGAGACCTCTCCAGCCTCCCAGCAATGTGCAAGCCTCCACTGACCGACGGGCGGCCAGCGCACTAGACGCGTGATAGCCAGGCTCTGTCCTGATGTCTTGACTGATTGCTGTCCCTTTCCTGATCCCATCCTCAGGCAGCATCACCATCGGGAGTTTTCCAGCCTTCTGGCCATTGTTGTCAGCTCAATTCCTAACGAGCATACATGTGTGAGTGAGTGCGTGAGTGAGTGAGTGAGTGAGTGAGTGAGTGAGTGAGTGAGTGAGTGAGTGAGTGAAGGTAGTCAAAGAGGTGAGGGGCACCAAAGCCCCTCCATTCTGACCCCAGCACAGAGTCTATTCTGGCATTTGAGGGAAGAGGCACCCTTGTGCCGTGGCATGGGCAGCGGAGGTGGGGGTGCTCTGCTCAGGCTTGGGCAGAGCCACACTTGCACCTATGAAGGACAGTCACCATCCAACCCCTCTGTCCCCACTCCCTGGTTTTGAGAACACCAGGGAAAGAGAACCAACCGTGAGCCACTGTTTAGGAGAAGGTGGAGGGGAGGGCAGGTGATGTCACTGGAATCACTCAAGTGTCTACCTCGGAGGACATGTTGAAGTTTACCCTGTTCCTGTCAATGGGCCCGGTGTAGGGAGATTGGGTTGGTAGGCTGCTATTTGGCAGCTGTTACCGGTTCGGTTAAACATGGCCATGCTGCCGTAGGTGGGTTCGGTTCCTGGCCCCTTCCAGGGGCATCTTCGGAAAGGGCCAGAGACGGGGAGAGCTCTGTGCCAAGGAACACCACGGCACGGCCACACGCTGACCCAGAAGGCCTGGCCTCTGGAGGGAGACACAGTGTGATGAGCTACTGGTGCCCGGGACTTGGACTTCCAGGTGTTTCTGTTTCCTAAGGCAGCCCACTCGGTGTGATTCACTGTGGCAGCCTGGGAAGCAAAGGCAAACAGGCACTCGGCCGACTGCCCCGGGGTTCTCGTTCAGGTCGGTTTTAATCCAGGGCACAAAACAAAACAAGAAAGTCGTCGTGGATCCAACTCAGCCTCGTGCTGAGCTCATCCTGTGTGTCAGAATAGAACTGTGCTCTACAGAGTTTTCCACGGGCGAGTGGGGGCCGTCGAAGGTCAGGATGAACCTGAACGTCCACTTTCCCGTAGGCAGCTGAGCTCTTGCAATTGCTGGCCTCATCTGGGGGCTCTGGGATGCAAAGAGCGCTATTCTACCCCATGGGTAACAGTCCATGTAGGTCCCTGGCCTGCCCCTCAGAAGGCACCAGCACAGCCCCATAGGCTCAAGGCCCTGAATGGGTGCCCAGGGAGGGAAAGCCACAGTCCCCTTGTACAAACAGGAAAATCGCAAGCCGAGGGTCAGTGAGCCGGAGCCCCCCTCCCAAGCAGCAGCCTGACCCTCCAGGGGTCCTTGTCCCTATCCTCCTCCCAGATCCTCGGGCCCGGCCGAGCAAGGGCAAATAAACGTAGAACTGCATCAGTTCAGAATCTGGCTTGGGGAAGCTTGGGGAGAGCTGTCCCCAAGAGAGGTAAGGCTGCTCTCAAGTTGAAGCCAACTCATAGAGAGGCTAGCTTATAGGACAGGACAGAAGTGCCCTTGTGGGTTTCCGTACAGAAGTAGACAGTCTTTCTTCTGCGGAGGAGCTGGTGGTTTCGAACTGCCGACCTTATGGGTCACAGCTCAAAGCAAAGCAACTATGCCACCAGGGCTCCTTATGTGAGAGGTAGTAGCGAGAGGGCTGAAATGCTTCACTGACTCAGGCCAGGCCTGACTCCGACATCCTGGGACCATTCTCCCCCTCGTAAATGCTGTAGTTCAGAATGTCCTCCTCTGCGGTGCCCGCCTCTCTCCTGGGCAGGATCCTGGCACTGGACAGAGACCAGGATCCTAGTGGAGCAGTCAAGCCCACGCGAAACGTCCGAGGGGCTGCCTCAGGGCAGGATGACCTGGGGGTTCTTCAGGAAGGTGGCCAGCTTGGTGGCTAGGACGTCCAGGTCTGTCCAGTTGGCATAGCGAAGAAGGTTGCTCTTTCGCACGAAGTAGTGCTTCAGAAAGTGCTGGCTCACGCACTTGTGCAGCTTCCGGACCAGCCGCAGGAAGGATTTGCTGAAAACCTGCCAGTCCTTGGCGTGGGGATATTTCTCACAAGTCCAAAAGAGCACTGTCTGGGAGGAGAAGAGATGGGTGTCAGACCTTAATTGGGACCACTGGGGAGCACTCTGCAGAAGCACTACTGAGCCCACACCAGGGAAGGAGGAAGGGGCCATGGTGTGTGGCAGAATAGGATTGCAAGGCCCTGCCAGACAGTCAGAAGCAGCCTGGCCCTGCCAGCCTCCTCGGCCACCTTGCTCACGTCACCATTCATTCATTCATTCGACACGGCTATTTCCAAGGATCTCCATTCTCCTGATGCCCATAATCCCCCACCCCTGAGAGATCACCGTCCCAGACTGGACGGGAATGTGGATGCTCTTCCTTCCACACAAGGCAATTCTGCTGAAGTCTACACCTTCCCTCTTCCTCGGCTGGGCTCCGGATCCAGGAGTGGAGCGTCATCAGTCACCCTCCTCCTTACCATGAAACACACAAGCAAACATGAGAAATGCCCCTGCCCCTCCAAGTCCGCATCTCCAACCCTCAGGGACGGGTCTTGGGCAGCGCCGCTGCTGCCCCATCACAAGCTTCCACCAGCGCCGGAGCAGGATGCGCACTGGCCAGCGGCATCCCTGGGTCTTGCACATGGAAGGTGGGAATTTCACCGCCAAACCACATATGCCTCATCCTAATTCTTACCTCTCTGCCCATGAGACATCTCTGTTTGTCTTTTCTCCTGCTTCTATCCACCACAGATGGATTCTCTGGCCACGGAGCCTGTAAAGTGACTCTCCCGAAGGTCTGGGCCTCTATCTCCATGTGTTTTCGCCCTCGCCTCATTACCTCTCTGGCGCACACTCCACCTCATGAGCCCTTCTCCACCTGGCCTCCAAGCCTGCGCTCCCTCCTGGTTTCCACCCAGCACGACTGCCCCAGCTCCCCCAGTGATGGCAGGCGCATCCACTGCCACCTACCTCTCCACGCTGATGTCTCTAAACCAGGACCGGGCTCTGTCTCTTCTCCCTCTGTCCTTTCCCCCAGACTCTCTCGTGCACCGCCCTGCCCTGAATGACCACTGAATGCAGGTGGTTTGCGATGCTTATCCCTCAGCCCCTATTTCTCCCCGGACCTGCTTACCCACTCTCTCTCAGAAATCTAAGCGTTCCCGCAATCTCAGCACATCCAAACTGAACTCACCATCTTCTGGCCACGAGCAGGGCCCCCGCCTCCTGAGCTGTGTATCCTATCCGTTTAGTGACACAAGACACAAAGCTCAGTCCACACTCCCTCGCCACGCCCCATCGAGTCCCATCAGAAGTTCTCAAGGCTCCTTCTCTCCCCCACCTCCTCCTGGCTGTCACCTGGTCTTGCCCCGCCCTCTGCAGACCACATACCCTTGTTCAGACATTAATGTGTCCGTGTTCCCCCATCCATCAAACACTTTGAGGCTGGCTGTTGTTGATCGATTGAAAGGGCATGGAGAAGTTTGGCCCCTACTTCCCATCTTGCTTATCTTGCCCCGTGCTGGCTCCCTCTGGCCACGCTGACCTCGTTGACCAGGCTCTTCTCCCACAGATCCTTACACATCATATGCAGCAATATACAAGTGCATTTACAGACGAGGGGGTACCCCCAAAAACAGATGTGATGTGAGGGGGTAGTGCATTTGGAGTTTGTTCCACCAGGTCAGACTGGTCATCAAGCTTTCTTGTTCAAAGAAAATCATTTTATTGGGGGCTCTCTTACAGCTCTTAGAACATTCCATACATCAATGGAAGCTTTCTTTGTACGTAGAGGTTCTGAAAAGATAGCGTGTAACAGTGCGTGATAAAAAAAAAGGCCTGATTTGTGCCAGGCAGCGGACTGGTTTTGCTACCACAACAATGCACCTGCTCAGCCAGCCATCTCAGCACTCCAGTTTTTGGCAAAAAACAGCATGCCTCTCTGTCCCCAAGCACCTGTCTCACTTGGCCTCACTTCATGCAACTTCTTTTTGTTTCAGTGAATGAAGAGGGACATGAAAGGACAGCAATTTGATGATGTAGAAGAAAGAGGTGAAGGAAAAAAAACTGAGGGAGGTGTTGTCAGCCATCCAAACAGAGGAGTTTGAAAAATGTTCCCAAGAATGGAATTGCAGATTTGACAAATCTATTGAGTGTAATGGAGAATACTTTGGAGGTGGTAAGGTTGTTTCATAAAAATATTTAAATACATAGCTTTGAAAAAAAATTCCATTGGGGGGGTACCCCCTTGTATACACATACATTATATATACATATACACATACACATATCCTTACATTACACATGCATACATAAACATAAATATACATGACATACATATACACATACATTTCACGCACATATGCATACATATATGTCTACATCTACCCATATACATATATATACATACATATACATATACATACATATACATTTTTAGCACGCTTCTTTCTCTCCTTTGTCCAGGAAAGTTACCTACCAGGTCAAAATTCCCCCAATATGCACTTACACATATCCTAGCACTGACCACAGTAGTAAGGCTGGCTGGTTGGTTTTCTGTACGGACTTTTGCCATTACTCTCTGTCTCACCTCCCATTCTAGAATGGAGACTTCATGAGAGTAGGGGACTGTGCTTGTCTCCACCCTTATGTCCCTGCCACCCAGAATCGTGCAGCCAACGTTTGGTTGAATAAGTAACCCATTCTTTGATGCCAGCATCGAACCATTCGGCAGACTTCTATTTTGACTCAGATTAAATTGTTTTGAGCAAACGAGTCAGAGATATTCTTGTGCTTATCAAAATAACCTCGGTAGGGGAAAGAAATGAATTCTACTTGTTTGTTAAAATATTTATCTCCAAAAGCAAATTGATGCAGTTAAGGCACTTGTCGCCGAGCCTGCTCGCCTTTGAGTAGGATGACCAAACGGATGAAAACTAAGCCCATGCACAAGAAGAAATCCCCTCAGGGGAGAGCTTCTGTGGGGAGAAGGGGGGCCCTGACAGACTTTGGGGAAAGGATGGTAATTCCTAAGAGCTTTCTGGTAATGTTTTGCAATCCAGTCTCTTCCACGTTTCTCAGACTGAAGCTTTGGTAAGTGTTCAATGTCGGCAAGCCGTCATCTAGCATGAGTGTCTAATCCCACACTTGTCCCCATCCACGTCCATCCCACAGGAAGGAAGGCCTCACGGTGGAGGGGCTCTGCCCTTGGACCAAGAGTGGACAGAGTTGCCACCATGTCAATGCCAACTCCCGGTGACCCGGTAGATAGGGTCTAACCACCCCGGTGGATTTCCTAGACAGCATCTCTTTACAGGAGTAGAAAGCTTCACCTTTCTCCCAAAGAGCAGCTGGTCATTTCGAACTGCTGACCTTGCAGTCAGCAGCCCCTGCGTCACCACTGCCTCACCCAGGTTCCTTGCTGGAGGAAAAGAGAGCTTGCCCCATTCTTCTCCACAAGTCACTGCTGTGTTTCCCCCCTAAATGCCCACTCCTGGAAGTACACAGTCCTGTGGTGCCAGGTTGGTGGACCAGGGAGGGCTGAACCACAGAGCCTGTGACTGGTGCCTTTCAACGCGTGAGGCCGCCAAGAGTCACTGGGGGAGAGGTAAACCTCTGGATGGAGTGCAGCGAGAGCCCAGGATCGGGGCTAATAATGGGTTTCTGATCCTGCCCATCTTTACAGGCGCAGACAGACCCGTCTTGCTCCCTCGGAGAAGTCGGTGGGTTGGGTGGGAGCAGCCTTATGCGTAAACCACAGTGCCACCAGGGCGCCTTAGATTGTCGTGGCCATACAAGTAATGAACTGCATGAAGCTGAACATGGACACTCGAGCCTCAAACTCACACCCCCTCTCCGTGGCCCCGCGGAGAATGCGGATGGGCACCTCCTGAGCCCCGGAGAGTGAGCCTGGCCCCCACTCACCTGCAGATGGTGGGAGGTGAGAACTGGCTTCTTCCCGGGACACCAGACTTCCTCCTTCATCTGCAGCAGGAGCTGGAAGCACTTCCCGCGGCAGCCCCCGTCCTCGTCCAGCAGCTCCAGCAGCGCCTGCTCGGCCCGGCAGAAGTCCAGCTGCCAGTGATAACTGGGACGGGCCAACAAGTCAAACCCAAGGGACTAGGAGAAGGGAAAAAGCGGGAGGGGGATGAGACGACTGCTGCCAAGGAAGGAGAAGCCCTCCCCCAAGCTGCCCACTGGTCAGGGGGAGCGATAACCAGCAGGTGTGCCTTCTGCATGGGGACAGGGAAGGGGAAGACCAGTTTCTGTGGGGACGCCCCAGGTGTCAGAGGAGAAGTGGGCTCCATGGGGTCCCCGATGCTCAGTTTTGGAAGTAGGTCACCAGGCCTTTCAATGCAGTTCTGGGTGGACTCAACCCCCAGCGTCTAGGTTGGCGTATGAGCACTTGTTTGTGCCACCCAGTGACTCCCGGGGGAGAACACAAGCCATCTCGCAGCAGGACACTCAGTAGTCCGGCTTCTCTTGTGGGTGGTTCGCACACTGGTGTGTGCAGGGGAGCCCCCTGGGAGGCTCATGAGCAGCACGAGGCCCCTGAATCTGCATTTCTACCGACTCCTCCAGTGGTGCTCATACTGCTGGCCCAGCCCCCACACCAGGAGAACCGGTGACCTGGGAAGCCTGTGGGCCCACCCAGCCTCAGTTGTGCTGCGATGGGTCCGGCTGTGAGCATCTCTGCCCTGGTGAGCTGGGACCTGCCTGCTGATACCTTGATGCACTCCACGGTCTCCATGGACGGCCAGCGCCGCAGACATCGGGGCCACTGGCCTTTGGCGGACCAGGTGGTGGGGATCTCCACAGAGGGTACCAGCTCGAGTTCCACCTGACAGGCAGCCGTTTCCACGGCAACCCAAACCGCAGCACCGCAACTCTCCAGCAGGCTGACTTGACCTGATGGGAAATTTCCAAACCCACAATGAGAAGGGAGAGTCTTGCTCAAGACAGGCATGCAGAGAAGGCGTTTGTGAGCAGCTAGCATGGCCACCTCCTTGTCACTGGCTTGTCAAATTCTACAACGCAGCAGCCTAGCCAGGGGTGATGCCTCTGTGGCCAGGTTGATATTGCTAGAAGCGTGGCTAGAAGATCTATTTGTCCACCTACCCAAGACGTTCATGTTTCTCTTATATAAGAAATCCTTTTCAGAAGGCTAACCTGAAAGAGCCACCTTTTTTTTTTTAAAAAAAAAGGATACTATTCACCATTGTAAAATACAATTGAACCATTGCACTCCATTCCACCCAAATCGTTAGATGCTGCTTTTCAGAGTCAGTGAGACAACGGGAGGCTGTAGTGGATTTTCGCTCTTTGTCTAGATCGATCACGGCATCGATCGACCATGTTGGAACACGTGGGCTGGGTTTGCACAGCTGGGTTTTGTTGGTTTGCTTCCATTGCAGCTAAAGGTGCACCATTTGAAAGAGCATCTCCTCGTATTCTTTGCTTTTCCTTTGTCAGAAAACATGAGCCTGTGAACTACGGAGGAGGACCTCGTGCTCGGTAAAGTGGAGGGGCAGCGAAAAAGAGGAAGACCCTCAAGGAGATGGATGGACCCAGTGGCTGCAAGGATGGGTGTAGGCACAGGATCGGGCAGGGTTTCGGCCCGTGGTGCACATGATCGCTATGGGTCAGAGCTGAGGTGATGGCCCCTAACAACAACCTTGACTATGGGCAGACATCAAAAAGCCAGGCGCTCCCCTCCTTGTCAGCTGACCAGACAGGAAGGGGGACAACACCTGGCACCCAGCACTATTTGCTGAGATCACCTCTCCAGCCAGGCGGGTTCCACTCTCTTATTTGCACCTCCACTTTTAATCCTGTCCGCAAATGAAGAGTGGAGCCGCCTGGCCCACACTTGACGCTGCTGCTCTCTCTGCTCACTGCGTGCATAGCCTCTGGCAAGCTACACTCACTTCTCTAAGCCTCACATATCAAACATGTGCAGAATGCTTACTCTGCAGGGTGGCTAAGAGGGGTGCATCAAATAGTCCTTGAAAGCGCCTGTATACATTCTGAAAACCCATTCGTGATGCATTAATATCGTTGTAGGATCTCTGCAAACCGTTCTACACAAGCAACGGCAGAGACAGACCCTTTCTCTGCACACTAATGAAACAGCGTGCTGGTCCTCATCGTCTCTCACTGACCCATACCATGTGATGGTCTGTGTGGGAGGGGGCATGTGACTGCTCATGGGCTCATGTGTGTGCTCCATTCTGTCTAAAGGCTGCATGGGGGTCCAGGTTGCAGAAAGAGCATCATTCCCTTGGCCAGTTTCCCTTTGCTGGTCAGCTAGATGATCTCTAGCTACTTGCTGCGTGGAACCCCCATGGCTGCGGCTCTCATTGGGCATATATCCTGCTTGGTGCATTTGCAGAAACGGATTTCCAGGCTGGAATTGCCCGCTTGTCAAGTAGGCACATGATCAACATAAAAACAGACCAGTTTGAAGGCACCAGTTTATACTCCTGAGAACAGTGTCTGAAAAGGCCTGCTCCTCCTACAGGGAGCACCATCCGCTTTTTCATCGCCTCAGTCTGGTAGGCGTTTTCAAGTACACTTTGTGCCTCGGATGAAACTT